CTCTCATGGTAGCATACAACCATCTGTAACTCTCCTTCCAAGGGATTCAGTGCCTTCTGACATATGTGACACATGCATTCATGACATAATGAAATCTAATAAAATCAAAAACCTTATAGTGTAACTCAAGAATCCAGTGACAGAGAGGGAGGACTGATGACCAAAGGGGTTAAGACTGGGCTGGTTTAACCCCCAGAAACAGCTGACCTGTCAAGGGTTAGCTCTTCAATCCCAGGCTAATGCCTGGGAATCCAGCATGGGACTGATCAAGACCCCCTGAATGTGGGTGTCAGTGAGGAGGCCTAGGTAATCTATTGAGCCTTGGGTAGTAGATCAGTATTTATCCTGGGTATACAAGTGGACTTTGGGCTCCCATCCAACAATGAGAGATGCACTCTCACCCTGGACTCTTGGGGGAGGGTCTAGGCCCTGCTCTGGATGAAATGATAGACTATGGACACCCCATGGAGGGTCTCACCCTCCCTGGGGGAAATGAGGGGTTATTGGAGGGATTGGTGGCAGGGTGCTGGAGGAGGGGAGGGAAAGGGAGAGGGACCTGGAATTGACATATGAAGCAACCTTGTTTCTAATTTAAATTTAAATAAAAAAAACTGATAGTGGCATTGCTGTGTTGGCTTGTAGGGTACAGAGACTTTTCTTTCTACAAGGGGAAGCTTTTACTGGCTAAGATGCTGCTCTTCAACCTAATTTATTGTTGGGAGGCTTTAATGTGTTTCAACTGTTGCCTTCATCCTTACTATTAGGTCGATTCCATGGCATACTAACTTCCAGGTACACACATAAGTTTAAAACTTATTCATGTATCTAGCTGGTTGATATTTGAGTAATTTTCTTCAAATTATAAGACAGCATTAATGCTAATGAGATAAGTGATGTCTTTTAGAGGGTTTCAGAACTAGAAAACTAGGCTAGAGGTGTATTTTTCTCCTGAGAAACATCCCCCCTCACCCAAGAGATTTATTACCTTTAAAGTAGTTTACACATGTCACTTTCATTAATTCTTGTGATAACTATGTAAAAGCTGTCTCCATCTTGGTGCAGTGAAAACTAAAATTACTGCCAGAAAGTTTATTTTAATCTTTTCCATAATACTGGTGTTCTTTTTCTGCCAAATTCACATACATGTATTCTGGGGAAAAAAAGACAACAAAAAACCCAAAGTTTGCATAGTTGTTTTCTAGTCCCCGTTTTATCAGAAAAGTAATGTGAATATACTGTTCAGTCAGGGACAATAGGTGCATGTGTATCTGTGTGGTGCATGCATTTTTAAGTATTTATGGGGTGTAAGAATGTAATGGTAGCCCTGTATAGTAACAGTGATTGTGTGTTTTAAACCAAGATTTCATTCCCATACAAATGAGCTCTGTGAGATTATTATGCCAAAATACCAATATTTGTCTTTCACTCAATTTATCTACACTTCATAAAGTCCTCAAATATTACTTCATTATCTTAAAATTTGCTTTGCAGTATGTGAAGTATGTGTAATGATTTTTAAATATTTATGAAGTAGTTCTGGTTTTTGCAGGTGGTGTAGACTCTTAGGAATATAGAGCTTGATTTAGAACAGAGTCTTCTTTTCTTCAGTTTTCATTTTGAAAACCAAATTTTACAGTAAATCCATCTGTGTCAGCTGTACTGACATTAGTTTTTTTTTTAAATCTCTCTATAGTGTTTTCATTAGGTAGAAAAGTTCTCTTAGTTTATAGTCTCCCAGTTGTGATGCAAGGACAGCTATTGCAGATAATACTTATGTGTTGCTGTATTTATGTCATGTTTCCCTCTGCGAAATTATCATGTAGAATGATTAGGCCAGATTAATACCGCAGTTTATTTAAAACAAACACAACAAAAATACAAAAAATTAATAAATACCCTTATAAAATAGATTTTAAGGCCTGAGAGTTTAGCTATGTCGTAGAATATTGCCTCATATGATGAGAAAATTAGTAATCTGACTTCAGAAGAATTGGGGTTAAGAGAAATTTTAAGCACTCTTGCCAATCTACACCCATGTTTGCACACTGCACAATACATGCTCACGAATGCGCATGTTCACACACACACACACACACACACACACATATATATATATACATATATATATACACACACACATCAGATACACATGGTAAGTGTGGATGTAATACATATGTTAATTATCTGGATTCTGCCATACATGTTACAACATATATTTGTGTTAAAAGATCATGCTACATACTGTAAATATTTGATTTTTGTCACTTAAGGGAAGGGAAAGAAAGGCTTGGAGGTGGTGGCACATGCCTTTAATCCCAGCACTTGAGGGGGAGAACAAGTGGATCTCTGTGAGTTTGAGGCCAGTCTGGTCTACAAAGCTACACAGAGAAATCTTGTCTGGAAAAGCCAAAAGGAAAGGAAAGGAAAGGAAAGGAAAGGGAAGGGAAGGGAAGGGAAGGGAAGGGAAGGGAAGGGAAGGGAAGGAAGGGAAGGGAAGGGAAGGGAAGGAAGGGAAGGGAAGGGAAGGGAAGGGAAGGGAAGGGAAGGGAAGGGAAGGGAAGGGAAGGGAAGGGAAGGGAAGGGAAGGGAAAGAAAGAAAAAGGGAGACTGTCTTCAAATGTTAGAGTGCAATAGGAAAGCTGTAATTTGCTTATTCATCAGAAGTTGTCTTTATCAAGCTGACAAAGCCTTACCTTATGTTCTTTCTGGTCTGGGAACCAACAAGTGTATATAGCTTTTCAGATCTGTACAACAGTGGCACAAAGTGCTGCTATATATCCCTCAAAAATAGTATTGCTAAGGAATCTCAAAATAAAAGTATTCTTTCTTGATTTTATGTCAACTTAACTATTAAGGAAAGTTGAGTCTATTTATTTATGTAAGAGTTGTCTGTTTTAAATAAAATTATGTCAGATTACTATTTGAGTACTCTTGGTAGTATGCCTGTGGTAGCATGTAAGTGATGCTATGCTGCCAGCTGGGTAAACAGGGTAGAATACACATCTTACTGTTAGTCTCAGCTGGTTTGAGTTTCTCCTTTACCAGTCCTGTGCCCATATATTTGAGTCCAGCTGTTGTAGTCCTGTGGAAGCTATCAGATCTTGCTTTTCAAAGTAATGTCTATAGACCAGTGTCAATTTTACCTCTAAGACTGTTAGGCATAGTCTTGGCTATTTCCTGGGTTACTCTACAGGCATCTTCACTTAAACAGATTCTCTTAGTGATTGGTATGTGCATTGGAGTTTGAGAAACCTCACTATAGAACTTAAAAGGCTTGTAATTTGGACACTTTTGTAACTAAGATTACAAAGTTAAAAAATTTGGAAATGATTTATATGAGTACTAAACATGTTCACCTATGGGCTGATGATAGCTCATAGAATGCTACTGGATGTTTTTTTTTAAAGTGCATTTTGTTGTATTTCTGTGCTTTGATTCTCAATCTTACCCAACACAGAAAACAAATGGTGTAAAGGAGCAAAACCATTGCTGTTAAGTGTACTTAGAGGCAGCCTCTATCATTACATAAAACCAGCTCTTCAGAAAAGGAGAAAAGACTTGCTCAGACACTGGGGTGCACAGATTGTATAATCCCCACAGGATTTGTTATGCACATGTGTAGATACTGAGTGAGGTGATGCACAGGGACTAGAGCCCTATTCAAGGAGTTGATGGTTGAGCCTGAAACTGTCCTTGGAAGACATGCTTCTGCCCATGAGCAGAACTCTAGTATTCTGGGATGTGACCATATGGTTTCATTGACTACCTTTCCTTCAAGTGTGCACTTCAAGTATTTCACTTCCTTCATTCTCATGAACCCCATTGTCTGCCATTGTTTCATTACACCTGAGAATGTTAGGACTCTGAATAAGAAATAGAAACATGTAACTGCTTCCTGTTACCATATTTAAGTAAAAATGTTGTGACACACTCTACCTATGAATTTCCAATTTAATTTAGAGAAGAAAGCTTTCGTTTGAGTTCTACTTGTAATATTTGAAAGCTCCCTTCAGCCACTAAGCTGAGATGGTTCCAGGAGCTGATAGACATTTTTGTGATACCTTTATGTGTCACTTTACCTCTTGGTGTACCAAGGATACAAATGAAGTTTTGCTCAATAATAGGAGTCAGTCAAGCCTCAGTGGTTGGGTAGCTAGCTACTCTTGTGAACCTGGGGTGGTTGTGCTTAGATCTTTCATTCATGCAGGGACTTGGCAACCTTCCCTAGCCTAAAGAATACTAGCATGACTGCTAATGTACACTAACATTCCTTATTAATATATGGTAAAGAAATTTTCTCCATGCCTCCTTCAATTATGTTCTTATCTAGTAGTTTGTCTTTTTGTCATGGATGACCAGGAAATCTTTGTAATAGGAGACAGTTGCTATTAATTACTAAAATTTTAAATGCCTTAAACATGTGGGTCTGGTGAAGAATGCTCAGAGACACAAAGATGTCTTCTAGTAACACATAGTTTTCTGTCACCAGTTGCCAAGCATGTTAATAACAGCAGAAAAGGGACCATAACATAGCATTTCTCTTAAGCAAGAGACTGATGGGAAAATGATAGTGTCTTGCACTACAGGATAGTGAAAGCCATTCTCTTTCCTTTCTGAATGCATTATTTACTCTTGAAAATCTGCATGTAATCTATGTAAAAGCACAAATGGTAGCATTTATTGGCTCATTCTGATCACAGGGCTTTTCACTCACACATTCTCAGCCACATATTTAATTATTGAGATTAAAAGAAAACAATAAAATATTAAAGAAGTGAATTATAACTGTTCCATTTAAGAATTAATTCAGATACTTTTTATGATTACACCAGGCCTTCTAAATACCGTGCCCACACCAGACCTGGTGAACACTGTGCCTGCTGTGCAGTCATGCCTTGGTGTCTTATGCCAGGTCTGGTGAACACCGTGCCTTCTGTGTAGTCATGTTTAGGTGCCTTATGTCAGGCTTGGTGGGCACTCATATCCCTTTTGTTCCATAGGAAAATGACTCAGGCACTTTGGACACAGTGGGTGCTGTGGTCGTCGATCATGAAGGGAATGTTGCTGCTGCTGTCTCCAGTGGAGGCTTGGCCTTGAAACATCCAGGGAGAGTTGGGCAGGTAAGGATTTGTGGGTTACTTAATCTCCTCAAAACAAAATCAAGTGTTGTCTAAGCGCAACCAGTTAACTACTAGGGATACTTTCCTTTGGGAAAATAAAAATCCTTGTTCTCGAACATTTACATTTTTATAGATCAAGAACAAAATTCCTTTTCAGTCTTCTTTTTTTAAAGAACCATCTCATGGTGACAGGGCTCTTGCTGACCTTTATAACCAGTAACTTCAGCTTCCCCACCCAGCAGCCTGGGTTACACTGGCCTTTGTTTGTAGTAGACATTTAATAATTGTGTATTGATTTACCTCTCCCTTAGTCAATATCACTGTAGAACCAAGTACTCCCTGACTCTATTGCCTATTGCTTTTGAAGTGTGGACATGGTTTTAGAATAACATTTTTATTCCTTTTATTCAGGTCATAGTGACATCCTGGCATCCTATGTCACTCCTCTGATTTTAAACATTTACAGAATAGCTAAGATTTCTGGTCACCCTGTATCACAGACAAAAGTCTATTAAATAAAGAGACTTTAATTTATATGAAGCTTTCTTACTCTTGGTTCTCTTACAGTGTTTTTTTTTTCTTTTTTTCCATCATGCCTTCTTTCTCCACCTTCAATCTTTAATTCTGTGTTGAAAATGAAACCTAAGAATGAATTTGATATACTAAGGGCAGTGGGTATTATGACCTGATTTTACTTATTTCTTATGATCTTAGTAAATATTTGTGAATCAAGACACTCTCCTTTAGTTTTTTTAAAGGAGGTTATGATGATCTTATTTAAAACTCAGTCTTTGGATCTTGTCCTACATGTGAAATGAAGCTCATTGTGTTGTATGTCCTTAACATTTGAAGAACAGTCGGTGTCACTGTTGGTTTGATCGTGGTTATTAGTGATTGCTTGTATCAGTGATTTTCCCCAGTCATCCCTTGATATGGACAGGTTTCTATACTACTTCTATACTAGTATGGTGAGAAGGGTAATAGTAACTGATTTCATGTTCCATTTGCTTACCATGTAAAAAATGTATGGGGAGTGATTACTTACCATATGTATAGTGCTTCTAATGCTTGTACGCACTTGTTCACTCATGTTTTCTGTGCTATGGAACTGCATATCTATCAAGTTTGGAATAAGAAAATCAAACTTACTAAGTCACACTTAGATGTCCTTGTAGAGAAGATAAGGAAAGTCAACAGAGTTGCCTCCATTACTTTGTAATCCCTTGACATTCTCCATATTTTTTGGTTTTGGGTTGTAAAATAATAGCCACAGCAGGGGTGATTGGGGATTTTAACAGGGTGCTGCATGCAAAAGTCTTGAAGCCATTTTGCTACCACAAATAGGATGTCTGTGAAATTTATGCATTGATTTTCTTCACTTGGCTTATTTAAAAATTTACCATTGTGAAAGCTAAAAAGTCATTAAAACATGACTCAAAGTGCTTGGAGGAAAACCCAATTGCTTACTTGTATTAAGTTGCTGGGTTAAGGAGACATCATGAACCTGGAGATGCAAAGCTTCAAGTAAGAGGTAAAACGAGGAAGCACAAAAGCATGGCCTTTCACAGACTAAGTAAAAATGTGCAGAAATGAGATGTGTTTCAATGTATTATAAATGCTAAAGGAATGCTTTTTAAAAATTAACATACCTGCTGTAGATATTTAATAGGAACCCAGATTATAAAATTTAATTTGAACCAGAATTTTCTTGTTTTAGTTTATAACCATTACAGTTTGTAGCTGAGATATGAGAAAGGAATTACTAGACTTTATAGTTAGCAAGTTCTACAAATGAAATGCTGTAGTGCTTACCAAGTTATGTAAGATTGGAGTAACACATTTAAATTGCACATCACAGTTCCTAGTAATGAACTATAATTGTCATTGGTCATACACTTGCAGTGTTCAATACTTGCATTCATTCACATGATCCATTGGCAACAATATGAAGTAAGCATTTTTATTATTGTTTGTTGTTTTGTGGCATGAGGGAACTCGGCCCGAGAGCATGCCACGCAAGCCCCCAGAGCTGTGCTCTTTGCCATCACTTTTTTCTTTTTTGAGACAGCCATACTAAGTTGTGTAGGCTGACCTTGAACTTGCTCTGTATCCCAGACTTGCATTTGTGATCCTCCTGCCTAAGCTGCCAAGCAGCTGGGATTATAGGTCTTCCACTACAATCACTTGCCACATGTTCCTTTCATAGAAAACATAGTCCTGAAACAATTAAGTCATATATCATTTATATAAGCTATTTTTACTATATAACACCTTTAATACAATACAATTTTACTTCCAAAAGCTTAGGAAGGTTTGCATTTTACTAATAAGTGAATAATAGAAATTCAAACTCTACATTTTTGTTATTGTATGTTTGTTACTAGCTCCTCTTGACTAATTTCAGAAGGTTAAGAAGTAAGACAGCTTGAGGCCATGGAATTAAGGGTAGATATTATAAAAGAAACTTTCTTAAGGAGAAGAAAGAAAAGGGTGAGCAATCTTGTGCACCCTTTCTTAGGAAGATATCTTCCCCTGGCTTTCTGGTGCAGACTTATGCAGGTCCTGTTTATGCTGTCTCAGTCTCTGAGTTCATACATGCTTTGATCATGTTGATTTAGAGGGCCCTGTTCTCCTAGTGTCCTCCAACCCTCTGTATCTTATATTGTTTTAACCTCCTCTTCTGCAGAATTCCTGGAGCTCTGAGGGGAGTGATTTGGTGGGGCCATCCCATCTGGGACTGAGTTGTAAACTCTTATTTTAAGGTACCACACTGATTTCAAGAGCCAGTAGAGCAACTATGAAAGGATACGGTTTTTAGGGATGGGAAAAATTGCTGAAGACACTAAAACAACTTTCTTTTGCTGTTTTCTAAGAACCTATACATTATTAGACTAGCAGAACACACTTGCTAGTGTTTTGCATTTGTATGTGTGTTGTGTGTGTATATATGTCTGCTTGTATGTGGGCACATGTGTGTGTGTGTGTGTGTGAACATCCATATGTATGTATATGTTTAAAATTGATGTTATTTTCTTTGATTGTTCACTTTATTTACTGAGACAACATCTCTCGCTAAACTTGGAGTGTCTTGATTCTGGTTGGTCAAGCTATTAGCTTGTCCCAGGGATACTGTATTTTTGCCTTCTAGTTTTGGGATTACAGGTGACCACTATGCTTGCCTGGATTTCTATGTAGGTTTGGGGATCCTATATAATGCTTTATACATTGAGCCATCTCTCAGGCCCTATTAGTTTTTTTTTTGAATGACATCTATAAATATTTTGAGGGATACATAGTTTGATTTATATACACATTGATTTATTAATGTTACTAGCTCCTGGAGAAAGTAGAGTGAAGGAGACAGGGAAAGGTTAGTCAAAGATATATATAGATAAGTATGAAAAATAAATTATGGTGTCCTTGTCACAGCAGAGTGACAGTATGGTTACAGTAAGGTATTATATATCTAGACGCAGAAGATACCACCTCGAAAGTTTGAAAACCATTGTTTGCATAATTTTATGCAGCTGCTCTTATGAACCAGTTTTTACTGTTTTTCTGTGTGTGCATGCATGTGTATATCTATATACACAAGAAGAAATCTGGTGTGGATCTAAAGTCATCTCCTCGTTTTCAGACCACCCTGTTTTCTTGAGTGGGGATTCTCTTATTTTCATTTAATTAGCATACAGTGTAATAGGTTTCATTATGACACTTTACACCTGATTTTTCTTGTTGGCTATTTTGTGTATTATTAAGAAATTGGGTTTTATTTGATGGATATGACTTTTATCTTGAATTGAAAACTGTATATTACATATAGTATTCACTAAGCATTACATGAGTCTATTTTCTGTTTTCCTAGGCTGCTCTTTATGGATGTGGCTGCTGGGCTGAAAATACTGGAGCTCATAACCCCTACTCCACAGCTGTGAGTACCTCAGGTATTTGCTGCTTTCATGGCCATTTTCCATAGCTGCAATCCTGTCAGTCATTTAGTATTTAAAAATCAGTATTTTGGGGGAAACATTTGTGAGAGGGTTGATGCATGAAAACCATCATTATATTTGGGAGGCTTAAAAGATTATTTAGTTTCCTATAATAAATGCTTTACAAACTTCATCAGTAAAACTCTGATATTAATTATGTTTTATTATTTAATGATAGACATGACCCTCATATGCACAATAATATTAATGCAATTTTGAAACATTTTTTAAGAAGAAAGCCATTGGAGAAAGGTAGTCATGGGGGAAAATTACATACATAAAACTTACAGGGTTATACTCAACAGAAAGACAGAAAGAATGGATGTGGACTTCAGAGAAAAGCCAGCGCAGACGCAGATGTAGAAGTTAATAAGCAAAGAGGAAACAGTTGATCAGGAAGATAGCAAAAACACCAAATCAGCAAGAGGAGGCATGTAGAGAACCGAAGAGAACCCAACACAATTGTTTTCAAAAGGAAGAAAATCCCACGAAAGTAGCTGAGATGAAGCAGGTCAGAGAAGAAAGGAAAATAAAAAATTAAGAAAGCACCAAGTTCTATGCTATAATGGGCATAGAAGTGTATTGTAGATACTTTGTACAGAAAATGTCCACAGTGGCCATGCTTTCTGTTTTGAACAACTGAACTGCAAACAGAAAAGACAATCACAAACAAAACAAAAACAAAAACAAAACCCCAAAGCGAAGGTGACTACAAGAGCAGAAAGACAGTGGAGCACCTGATCAGGCAATTAATTGAACACCCAGCAGAAATAAGTGGAGGGGGGAAACTCTAACAGTTAGAGGGCAGTGTTGTGGAACTGTCTTGAGATCTGACTAACTGTGTCACTTTGTGAAAGAGATTCACTCCCCTTTGGATTACCCAGTTCACCAACAAAACCTAGTTTTTAAAAACTGGTGGTGTGGAAATTAGAATAAGAACATACTTCATAAATTTGATCCTGTTACGTTGAATGCATTGACAAGTAAGCTAGAACTGCATGACTGAGGTCTTTACAAACTTCCTTTCCTCTCTATTCCCACTTTGTCTCCCCTGTACCAGTTCTTTCCAGTTCATGGTACCCAGAATTGCATTTGAGTGTGGACATGAGGCATGCCATGGTTCAGCCCTTTAAAGTTAAAGGATGGAATGCCAGAACTGGAGGATGATCCCCTGTGCCTCCTTTCTGTAGGACTGTGTTTGCTCTTTTCTTGTTTTCCTAGGACTGTTGTTGTTAAGTTTGGTGATGGAAACTCATGGCAGAGTTGGGTGTCCAAGACATAGAACAGGTGGGACACAGAATTTTGCAATTGTTTGTCCAGAATAAAAAAAAGGCTTGTTCCTTGGGCTGTTGTAGAAAATCCAGAGACCTGGCCACTGTTTTGGTGTATATATCTTGGAAGGTGATAATTGAAAAGCAAAGAAAGGACTGTTAGTTATGGTCTGGGTAGGGCTCTCCCAAGGCCAGACAGGCAATTTGGTCATTAGCCCAAGTAATAAACTCCAGCATCTTGTTCTCATCATTGGGTGGGGAGGAATGAGTAGGGGTGTGTTTGTGACAGGAACTGCTCTTTCAAACTCTGACAAATATGCTGGAATCATGGGGCTTTCCAACACTAAGGAAGGAGCAGAGCTTTTCTTCTTGTCCAGACTTGTTAATTGTGCTTGCTAGTTGTTACTAACACAACAAAAATGACTGGCCATTCCTGTGAGTGTACATTCAGTTGACAAGGGGGGGGGTCCCCAGTGCATATCTTTCACTATTTATGTTCTGTTGACTATATGTCACATCTCTTATAAAATACACAATATTTAATACTATTAATGGAAACAGAAATACCACCAATAGAACAATGATAAAGCATTTTCACTTCACTGAGCACATGACCATTACTTTATTGGAAAATAAGGAACTGGGGGTGTTCCTTCAGTGATGTATTTGCTTCACTGGTAATAAACTTACTTCCCATTCTGTGCTTAACATTTATAATCATTTTAAATTTCAATCCTTTACCAACCCTAATCTCTTGAACACAGTATAAATAGTAAGCAAAATGAACACACCTAGTTTCCACATGGTGCATGACCGAGAACAAATGAGAACAACTTGCTTTGAGAAACAAAACATATTTCAACTCCTTAGGTACAGACCACACCACTCAGAAGAATAGAGGCAACCTGCTGCACCAAAGGCCAAGCTAACTGTCAGAAGGTCAGCTCCCAACTTGGACAGAGACTCCTCACTAGATCAGACGACATGCTGGCCTCCAGAAATCCAGACCACAAAAACTAGAAAATCAAAGTGGAAATAGGAGCCAAGAAACAAAACACCCATTCAACAAAGACAAACTGGAAAATTAGGACCTAGACCTAAATCAACCCAAGCCCAGATGCTAAATGCCAGTGTGAAATACGGTCAACAGCCAGAGTTATGTGACACCACTAGAGCCCAGGTGTCTATCCTAAGACATCAAGACCTGCATACTCCAACACAGATGAAGCACAAGAAAAAGATGTTAAAAACAAATTTATGAAAATGAAGATGTTCTTAAAGAGGAAATGAAGAACTCTCTTAAGGAAATCAAGGAAAAGACAACCAAAACATTAGAGATAGTCAACGAATCTCTTAACAAATGCCAAGGAAGCCAAGAAAAACAAATAGGTGGAGGAAACTATTCAAGATAGGAGAATCGACACAGAAGTAATAAAGAAAACACAAACTAATTAAATTATGGAATGGAAAATCTGAGGACACGGAAAGGAACTACAGATGCAAGCAAGCCTCACCAGCAAAATCAAGAAGAGATAGAAGAGAAAATCTTAGGCGTTGAAGGCACAATAGAAGAAATAGATTTATCAGTCAAAGAAAACATTAAATCTAAAAACTCCTAACAAAACATCGAGGAAATCTGGGACACTTTGAAAAGACCTAAGAATAATATGAATAGAAGAAGGAGAAAAACACCAGCTCAAAAAACCAAGAAAAAAACCTAAAAGAGGACATGCCTATACAGGTACAAAAAGCTTACTGAACACCAAATAGATTGGATCAGAAAAGAAAGTCTCCATGCCACATAATAATCAATATACTAAACATACAGACCACAGAAAGAATATTAAAAACTGCAAGGGAAAAAGACCAAGTAACATAAAGGCAGATCTATAAGAATTATACCTGACTTCTCAGAGGAGACTCTAAAATCCTGGAGAGATGTCTTGCAGACACTAAGAGACCATGCATGCCAGCCCATACTAATATATTCAGGAAAACTTTTAGTCACCATAGATGAAGAAAACAACGTCAAGTTGAAACATCTATCCACAAATCCAGCTCTACCGAAGGTACTAGAAAGAAAACGCCAACCCAAGGAAGTTAACTATCCCTATGAAAATGCAGGTAGTAGATAATATCAAACCAACAAATTCCAAAGAAGGTAAACACAGACACACACACACACACACACACACACACACACACACACCCATACACAGAGCATACAAACATTGCCACCAGCAACAAAATCACAGCAATATTTCTCATTATTAATGGACTCAATATATCAATAGAAAGACACATGCTGACAGAATGGATGTAAAAACAGGATCCATCCTTCTGCTGCATACAAGAAACGCGCACCTCAACATCAAAGACAGACATTATCTCAGAGTAAAGGACTATAAAAGATTTTTCCAACAAAGGGACTGAAGAACCAAACTGATGTAGTTATTCTAATATCTAACGCAATATGTTTCAAGCCAAAATGAAGCAAAAGATATGTAGAAGGACGTTTCATACTCATCAAAGGAAAAATGCACCAGGATTATATCTTAGTTCTGAACATCTATGCCCCAAATGCAAGGGCACCCACATTTGTAAAAAAAGACTTTACCAAAACTTAAATCACATATTTACTAAAGTGTAAATCAAATATCGAACCCTCCTTTTACCAATTCAGAGATTAACCAGACAAACTAAACAGGGAAATAATAGTACTAACAAGCATTATGATGCAAATAGACTTAACATATATCTACAGAACATTTCATCCAAATACAAAAGGATATACCTTTTTCTTAGCACCTCATAGAGCCTTTTCTAAAATTGACCATACACTTGGACACAAAGCAAGGAAATTGAAATAACCCCTTGTATATTATCAGACTACCTTGGATTAAAGCTGGATTTCAACAACAACAGAAAGAATGGAAACTGAACAATTCTCAATATAACTACTGAGATTACCACTGGGTGAAGGAAGAAATACAGACTTCTTCTAGACAATGAAAATGAATGTACAACATACCCAACTTATGGAACACAATGAAAGTGGTGCTACGAGGAAGGTTCATAACACTCAGTGCCTACATAAAGATACTAGAGAGCTCATACCAGTGGCTTAACAGCACACCTGAAAGCTCTAGAACAAAAAAGCAAATGCACCCACAAGGAGTAGGTGGCAGGAAATAATCAAACTGAGGGCTGAAATAGTAATAATAAAAAAAGAACAATACAATATAAATAATCATTGAAACAGAGAGGATTTTTGTTTTGTTTTTTGAGACAAGGTTTCTCTGTGTAGTTCTGGAGCCTATCCTGGCACTCTCTAGACCATACTGGCCTTGAACTCACAGATATTCTCCTGCCCCTCCCCAGTGCTGGGATTAAAGGCGTGCATCACCACTGCCCGGCATTTTGTTTTGTTTTGTTTTGTTTTAAAGAACATCAATAAGGTAGACAAACCGTTGCCCAAACTAACTAAAAGGCAGAGAGAGAATATCCAAATTAACAAAATCATAAATGAAAAGAGGTCTATAACAACAGACACCAAGGAAATCCAAAGAATCATTAGGTTATACTTCAAAAACATGTACTTCCAAAGTTGGAAAATCTAAAAGAAATGGAGAATTCTCTCAATAGATTCCACTTACCAAAGTTAAATCAAG